GGACAGCACCTGAGTTAAATATATGAGTGTCACAGCAAAGGGTCTGAATACTTAGGACCATGTGATATTTCAGTTTTTCTTTTTTAATAAATCTGCAAAAATGTCAACAATTCTGTGTTTTTCTGTCAATATGGGGTGCTGTGGGTACATTAATGAGGAAAAAAATTAACTTGAATGATTTTAGCAAATGGCTGCAATATAACAAAGAGTGAAAAATTTAAGGGGGTCTGAATACTTTCCGTACCCACTGTATGTCGCCTCCTCCCCCGTGGCCTCATGGGATAGTAAAGTGTCCATCGTATGCATGCTACGGAATTCGGGCGGAAGTAGTAGGTCATCCGGGTACTTCTCGCCTACTGTTTTTCGAATACTATGAATTCGGACATACTACTCGCCTCGCATACTGTTTTTCGCCTACTATATAGTATGGAAGTATGCGTTTTCGAACGCAGCTATAGAGTAATGCTGCATGTTTCTAAGGGTGGGTTGCACCAACAAGGATTAAATTAAGCAAAGTTTAGAGCTAATCAAGGATTTGTTGATCTGGGTTTTATTTTAAATCGAGTTGTGTTGCACCACTTTTAAACTTAGATTAACAAATTGGGAATTCGAATTCTAACCTGCGATTTAAAACCTCCATCTACAACAAATAATTTTCTCCGCCATGATGGATTCGTCATGTAATTAAACAGCAACAATGCTAATATTCCTTATCCTCTGTCTCTGACATAAGTTGCTTTTGTCGATAAAGGAAATAAACTTGTAAAAGTTCCACCGTCTTTATAAACCGCTAACGTAACGTTATGTTGAGAGACCGCTGATCAAACAGCTGATCAAGCAAGCAATCAAAACTTTGAGGCAGTGCATACGGATTTCAAAATATTGGAAATATATTTATAGTATAAATTAATGGAGTATAGCGTATGACAAAACAATCGAGATAAGAGAAAATAACTGGCATGATTCGCGGAGCAACTACCTCCGCTCGTGACAGTGGCGCCCTGTCCGTTTGATCACCGTTCAACAGCAAGTGTGGAGCGGGCGTGAGAAACGAGAGGCGCGGCCGCGATCCTGTCTTCTTTTCTTTGTCGTAACGCGAGATGCACCGAGACAAGTGATGGATTCACATACCGGACTCGATTGCAGACGCCAGTTTACTATGGGCTGCAACGACCCTCAAAATCCGCTGGCTCAGTACGCTTTAATTTTCATTTTTATTTATAATAAACACCTCTCTGAGACCTGACAACACACCCGCTGTTTCTGTCTTTGTTCAATCAGCCACATAATTGTAACTGTAGGTGCACTTTATTTTCTTTAAACCTCCTCACCTGTAAATTTAAAATGAATCCCTAATTTAGATTTAAATCTGAGTTTAAAGTTATGGAGCAACATGATTAAAGTTAATCTATCTTAAATATAAATTAAATCCAGGATCAAGATGATGGTTTAAATGTAAACCTGTTTATTTTTTTAAACAAGGTTTAAAGTTTGGTGCAACAGAGTTATTAGATAAACCTTGATTTAATCTAGATTTTAGATTAATCCTTATTGGTGCAACCCACCCTAAGCATTTCAGGAGACCTTTAAGACTTAAATTTAGCTTTGTAACATAATGCTGTTTACTCTATCAATTAAATAATGTAAAATGAATTATGAAGGTTTGGTCTCACACATTCCATAGATTTGTCTTAAAAATGAAGTTAAATGTGTGCAATGAGGCATGTCTGTGTATGTTACACTAAGAAACGGATTTCATTCTCTCAGACGTGTCTGAATTGATACAGGAAACTGCAGACTGGCAGAAGCCCTGCAGCCACATTTAAACAGCAGGGTTTTTTCCTCGCCTGAACAGTTACACACCCAGAAGTCAAGCTCAGACTAAACATTGATCAGCTCATCATGGTCAATGCTGATACACACTCATGCACTAACAAATCTGTTCCCAACTCTCTGGATGTTTCATGCACATTGCACAAGAACTTTGTGTGCACAGTAACTTTTCTGATTTGTCATGCATTTCGTAAAAAAAAAGAATCCATTTGACTTTCAGGGTATTATTTAGAGTAAAAATGAAGGTGTTAATATCATTTTATTTTAAATATCCCGATCATCAGTAATGAATGACTGTTTCAGTGTTGATTGTTTCACAGCAGCGGTAATGTGGTCTGCAGGATTTACAGTCTGTCGATTCATCAGAACAGAGAAAGAAATCTCAAGACTGTCATGTAGGAGTGAATTTATATTCCATTGCGGCCTTTCCTAAAGCCACAGACCTCTGAAGCGTGTCATTTAAAGCTCCCTCTTGTTTTAACTACCTGTCATTTGAGTGAAATATTGTCATGGTGTCATGATACTCTGAAGGCAAATGTGCTGTGTTAGTGTTGATCCATAAATTAGTGTTTCTGTGCATGTGGCTCTGATGTTTGTGTTGTTTTGCACAGGTGGGTTGTTATTACAAGCTTCACACACTCTGTCATAGTTCTGTTTCCTTTTGGTTGGTGTGTGTGTTTGCTCTTTTCCCACAAAGCACACTTTATCAGAAATATGTTACGAAATCGGAACATACCATACATTTGAATAGGTATTATAAGGTAAATATAAAATCTACAGACAACTTTTTGTACTCGTAGATTAACAACTATGTCAACTTAACAAGCAGAATACATGTCTGATTTTCCCACCCAAAGTTAGGTAGACCTCTGTTCTTATTTCTTTCATATCTCATCTACATTGTTATGACGTATGTAGTCTGTGGGGTGAGAGAGAGAAAGATGAGCTTCAAAGAGTGTGTAGACTAAACAAGCAGTCAGCATCCTGGCTTATTTTTAGACCATTGCCAGACTGTGTCATGAGTAGAAGCTGCAATTATGTGCAACAGTCAAGTTCTGGAAGTAAAAAATGCCTTTTATCTTATATATATACATACATACATACATACATGCATACACACACACACACACACACACACACACACATACATACATACATACATACATACACACACACTACCGGTCACAAGTTTGGAATAATTGAGTTTTTTTTTTAATGCTTTTTGTCTCATATGCTTAAAGGGCTGCATTTATTTTGGGGGGAAATACAGTAAAAACAGTAATATTGTTAATATTATTACATTATCTATTTGAATAATTGCACAATGGCGCCGACGCTGATGGCTGCCTCCGTGGCGTGCTCTGCAGTTGTTTTTATGTTTTTGTTATATTGTAAAATGTGATTTATTCCTGCATGGCAAAGCAGAATTTTCAGTACTAGCCATTACTCCAGTCTTCAGTGTCACGTGACAGAAATCTTTCTAATATGCTGATTTGGTGAAACATTTATTATTGTCAGTATTGAAAACAATTTTCCTGCTTCACTCTTTTGTGGAAACAAAATGTTTTTTGGAACCGTGCTGTTGAAACTGTAGGCAGTCACTTATTGTTTTTCTGTGTCACTCCAAATGTTTCAAATGACTATCAGCAAAACAGATTTTCTTTTCGTCATGTTTGTTAGTGACTCATGAGTCGTGTCGTGTAGAATGTACTAAGTACTGTGATAGTGGGAGAACAGCTTGCGTGTCTGTGCCAGGATCTTATTGTCTGTGATAATACAGTCGTGCGTCAGTCAGTCCGCCTCGTCTCTCGCTGACCCTGAGGGTCTCACACACAGCAGCCTCATGAGAAACTCCTCTATTCCACAGAATTACTTCACTGTTCCACTGATCCTCATCTGGAAACACAGTTGAGAGGAAAGCACTGTTGTGTCTGTCTGTATGTGTGTGAGAAAGAGATTCAGAAAGAGATAAAGGGTTTTTCTATCTCTCACTGTCACAGATAGGAGGGGGGTCGCTCATGTCTGTGCATGAACGTGTGTTTGCAGTTTGGATGTAATAAGTGGGCCAACAGTGACAAGCTGCCCCTCCACTGCATCATGTGACACTTGATTACATATCTGACTTTGACATACTGTACAGTGTAGCTTGCTAAAAGTGCAGTGAGGTTTTCTGGTGGAGTACTTTTCTGCGATAACACAAATCATATCAGTGCAAATGAACAAACAGGCAAGATTATGAGAGTCATCAGGATTGAATATGATTGAAGTAAGTCAGCGCAGATGTGATGGGTTGGTAAATTGTGAGGAGACGATTTGCTCCTAACTGACACCACTGGTCGACCCGTTATGTCAGTGTCGGACTGAGATTTTTGGATTATCAGAAATTGAAAAACATGTTGGGGCGGGGACTTGGTTCTGCACAGTGGTTGTTAATTGTATAGAATTAAACTTTAAATTGAATACAAACTTGCAGCTGATTGTATGAAAGGTCCGGATTAAATGATTGGAGAAGTCAAGCGTATTTCACCAGAGAGAAGTCAATTTCACTAGAAGATTGAGTTAGGACATTTTGATTTAAAAATTACAATGTCAAAAAAAATAAAGAAGAAATTAACTAAGATAAATAACATGCATTTACAAAATTGAATTGATATTTTATGCTGACTTGAACTAGTTTGGCATAATCTTTTATTTTTGCATAGAAAAATAGTATTTTAACAAAACTGCTTTGACTTTCTATTAACATTTACAGAATTTTTGCTCAACAAAGTCTCTGCTCCTGTAGGTTTGTAAGAGTTGGTGAAGGATCTTTCCCTGATCTCAGAAGAGTGTGTTCAGCATGGACATGGAGGATTTCCCCCCTCCTCCACCTGACCGTAAGCAGCACTGTCCTCTTACAGCTCACACACACACACTGCGTTTACGCTGACAAGCAGATAAGTGTGTAAATGCAGATGGTGGTTAAAAATGTCTGGCACAAATGGAACGGTTCATTTTTAAAGTGTTTAAAAGCAAGATTTACTGACCGGTGTCATGGTCATATTCACTCTCACTGTGTCGATTGCACTGGAATATCATGCTTATGGGAGCCTGAAGGATAGGGAGAAGAGAATGAACAGTGTAAACACATTCCATGGCTCAGCCACTAAAGGAGCGTGTGGGTTGAAGAGTGGAGGAACGCCAGAACGAATGCTGGGGAGGTGAAAAAAATCAGCCAGAAAACAGAGGCTCTGTCTTGATGCAGAGAGAAAGATTAGTTTACCTGATTAAAGTAGTGCTATAATTTAAGGGATAGTTCACCCAAAAATGAAAATTCTGCTGATATTTACTCTCTCATGTCATTTCAGACCAGTCTTTGTGCATACCTCTTGTACGCTAGATGGTTCATTTTTACTGTGCCATAATCTACACAATTGAATTCAGTTCATTTATATTGAATTAAATAATAATGAATTAATAAATGAAAATGAACCAATTAATGAATTAAATAGTTATTAGATCTTTAAAAACTGAAATTATGATTTAGACTTAAATCCATATTTGCTAAATCCCAATTGCATTTGCTTTTATATTGCTAATAAAAGCAAGGTAAACGCTATAATACTTTTTTCATATATGTTTACTTTTCTTTTTAAAAATGGTTTTGTCTAATGATTTATTAGACAGAACTGTTAAAGACCATAAACTAATGAAGAGAATGGAGGTCTTATGCATATGTCTTCAGGCACTAGTGTTCTCAGTAATGACAAAATAAAAGTCTGACACTTATCAGCCAAACCGGGGAAAAAAGTATCATCCCATGCGAAAAAATTTAAATGCTAAAATGACAAAAATGTGATATATTGGTAGACCACTATTCAGTAGAGCAGTTTAAAAACATCATTTCCATTAAAGGTTCATTTTTAGTCAGCAAATTGGTATTCATTTTATGATTGTACACTGTCTGTAGCTCTGAGATCTTTGCTGAAAACAGCTAATCAAAGGATCAGCATTGTAAGGAATGAGACCCATTTGTTGATCAGCTGGTGTTAAAGTTTAAACTAAAACTGCACACTTTCCACATTATTTTAAAGCTCTTACTGCATAAATATTCACCGTCAGTCATCTTTGCAAGATATGGAAACTCCCACGTGCTTTATCTCCCTCTTACTCCATTCATTAGCACAGAAAGCTGATAAAGTCACTCTCTCTTTTCATGCCTCAATGACTTTTTTCAGACTAGTGTTTTTTCCCATCACACAGTTAAACAAAAAAGCTCATCTGAAGCCCCTCCACCTTTCCTGAACACTTAACCTTTTACATTTCCTCTTAAGGATTTAAGGATGTGGCCAAGTGGAGCTCTGCATACCTGTTCTGCCCTGTACTCCTATACCAGGTGCTCAGTCAAGTCATAGTTTGACCTCAGGATGCGTTTAAGCTTTGCTGCTGTTTTAACATGGAGTCAGATTATCCTTTTTTGTTTTGTTGTAAACTGTTCATTCACATTACTGAATGCCAAGTTGGGTACATGGAGATTGTTTTGTTTGCATGCCGACTGTCATGGGTAGCTGTAAGGCATGCAGGGACGCCACTCCTACCAGCTCACAATGAATAAAGATCACATCCCACCTGTCAAGTAACCGTAGTGGTAAACCAAACTACTTTAAGATGGGTTCACACTGTACAGTTTTTTTTATCCTTTAAAATTGTTGCTGGTCAGATTGTATGATATGACCCCAGTGAGATCTTTGGTTCAAGCCAATTTAAATTTTTTTTAGGATATTGTGTAGAATTTAACCATATATTCAAACACTTCATATATATTTTTATATATACAGTGCCCTCCACTAATATTGGCACCCTTGGTAAATATGAGCAAAGGCGGCTGTGAAAATAAATCTACATCGTTGATCTTTTTGACCTTTCATTAAAAAAAATCACAAAAATTCTAACCTTTCATTGAAGTAAAACAATTAAAAGTGGGGAGAAAATCTCATGATGAAATAAATGTTGCCCATAATTATTGGCACCCCTAGAAATGCTTATGAGTAAAATATCTCTGAAGTATATTCTCATTCATATTTTAAAAATTTTAGCACACCAGGGTGACTAGGAGCTTGAAATTGTCCAGCCATGACGTCCTGTTCCACAGGATTATAAATATGAGGAGCACAAGGGCCAAATTCCTTAATCATCCATCACAAGCAGTGAAACCAAAGAATATAATGATGCGCAGAACAAGATTGTTGAGTTTCACACAGTAGAAAGTGGCTGTAAGAAAAGAGCTAAAGCATTGAAAATCCCCATTTCCACCATCGGGGCAATAATTAAGAGGTTCCAATCAACAGAAAATTTTATGAATCTGCCTGGAAGAGGACATGTGTCTATATCATCCTAATGTACGGTGAGGAGGAGAGTTTGAGTGGCCAAAGTTGAGTCTTGGGGTCAGAAAGCCTAAAAAAATTGGGTGCTAATAATTGTGTCCAACCTGGCTCTAAGTGGCTTAAAATTAGAAATGCTTTATTTATGGAAGTCAGCATAGGAAATTGATCTGTCAAGGTTGTTTTTGGACTCTGCAGCCTGAAGTGGGAGGACAGCGTGTTTTCACTATGTTTGGAATCTCTGCTATTCCAGTGAGCAACCTTGTACCAGCACGCCATGGTGGATTTATCGACTTTAAGAGATAACCGTTTCCGTCAGCGGAAACATGGTTTCCTGGGCAGAGGTCCAGAGTCTTTCAGTTTTACCACTCCTCTCATTATCCCTGTGAGAGGAAAAACAAACATTATTTAAGACTCCATGTAATGAATTTGAGTGGTTTAGAGATATTACTGTCTGCATATGCAGTCTTGTTTTATAAATAAACTGTCTGTAAAACTCTGTAACGGGCGTAATTACTGTAGTCTAGTATAATGGCCACTGTGTGCACTTCAGCCCCGTGAGGGAGGCTGCGATTGGACGGGGGATCCAGAGCTGAATGGAGGAAAAGGACTCTCACATTACTCGCATTTCTAAAGCGTGAGTCACTGGGTCAAGAGAATCCATGAACTGCCAAGTGTTTGATTCATAATGGCCTTATACCATCAAGGGCTCCCTCCCTGTCTCCTCTCTTATTCCTCGGTCCTCCATTCTTGGATGTCTTTCATCCATACTGTAAGGCTGCCATTCGGTTTTTCAGTTTTTTGCTGATGTAGGATCATTAAAGACCGACTCAGACAAAGCTTTCCTTAAAGGGACAGTTCACCCAAAAATGAAAATTCTGTAATTTGCTCACCTTCATGTTGTGCTAAACCTGTATGACTGTTTCATCTTGCACAAAAATGCAAATTTAGTAGAATTAGTCATTTTCCACTTTTTTTTCTTGCATTAAAAACAAAGTGAAGTTTTCCAGTTTAAAAAGAGAACAAAAGCTCCATGACAGTATCATAGTACTAGTTCATACAACAGCCGAATTAATAGCTATGTGATTAACAGACCACAATGTAAGTCATTCCACAAAAGAAGCTAAATCATACAGGTTTGAAATGACATAAGGGTGAGTAAATGATGACAGAATTTTCATTTTTGGGTAAACTGTCCTTTGAAATTTAGTGTAAGTAGCCTGTTTTGCAATGGCAGCATGTAATATACAAACCAAACCACATGAGTGAGAAATCTTTGATCAATATATTTTAATTTTAGTTCTTTCTCGCTGTCTTTTGTTCTCTGGTTCCAGTAGACATGTTTCCTCTTTAGCACTTCAGCCCTTTGGAAAATAAGCAGTGTGCTTTTTTGACCCTGTTTCCTTTCAGCATATGTGTGCTTCCTGTACACCAGTTTTGGTGTTTGGTTTTGTTTCACTGTTCCCTTATAACTTTTTGTGCCATGTGTGACTCTTAGAGGCATTTTGAGAAAAGGGTTCTTGTACATAACCTAAAATTAGAATTTGCTCTTAAAAATCCGAACATGTGTCTTTGTGAACCCTGGGTTGGCAGAGAGGTAGGCGGGAACGAACCGCAACCACAAATACTCCATTCACAGACTAATTTTTAGTTTATACCATACTCGACATCCGTAAAACAATGCGATGGAAACGGCAAAACACCTTCTATCTCTTTCTCTCTCTTTAGTGTTGGATGACGAAGATGAAGGTGAGACGTTTGAGTTTGATGACAGTGGTGATGAAGCCCCCGAGGCAGATCGGCCACCCCCTGAACCTGAGGGAATCTTAATGCATCCACCCTGCTCATCAACAGCCGAGGACGCACCCGTAAATGGAACAAGTCCAAACCCAGAGAACTTACTCACTGCAGAGGCTGATCTGCCCCCTCCACCTCAGGACTGCCCCACTAATAACAGCTCTTTGGCTCATGCACCCTTCCCACAGTGTGATCTACCCCCTCCTCCCATAGAGCTGTGTCAGAATGCAGCAGAACGCCAGGACAGAGACCCTCCTCCACCATCAGAGGGCGCTATAGGAGCTGCTGTTGACAGCGAGCAGGACGGTAAGTTTACATGTAGGCACAGATATTAAGATGAATTATTTTATCTATGACATTGATTTTAAAATGAATTAGTTAATGCTGCTTTTTAAAGCTAGAAATCTCAATATTATGATTATTTTATTCTATTGACAGCACTACTTAATCTCAGATATGCTTCAACTTAAAGGGATTGTTCACCCAAAAATTTTAATTCTGTCATTAATTACTCTCCCTCATGTCGTTCCAAACCCGTAAGACCTCTGTTAATCTTCTGACCCTGCATAGACGGCAACACACAACTGAATTGTACAAGGCCCAGAAAGGTAGTAAGGACATCATTAAAATAGTCCATGTGACATCAATGGTTCAACCAAAACAAAAATAACGACTTTATACAACAATTTCTACTTTTCTGTGTCAGTCTTTGACGCACATTCATGAGAGTACCATGACGCATTGTAAACAAGGCGCAGTGAGAACTGCTTTGCTCTATGTCAGAACGCCATCTCCTGCGTCATGCGTCGTTATACTCTCATGAATGCGTGTCGAAGACTGACATGGAAGAGAAGAAATTGTTGAATAAAGTCATTATTTTTGTTTTCTTTGCACACAAAAAATATTCTCAATCCCCCAACTACAACAGATTTGTGTATAACTGTCTGGAAATCAAATCTACAGCCATTTTGGTGGCAGCCCTCTGCGTCCAATTGTTTTTTTTTTAATTCTTCCATGGTTTCTGAGGTTACATCAGTCTCTTTCTTTCTTTCTTTCTTTCTTTCTGTAATTTCTCTTTCTCTCTAACTGTTAATGTAGGTGATCTTCAGTTAGTTGTATCAGGAATTCCTCCCACATAAAATAATATGAATTAACAAAGATTATTCACTAGAATAGCTGCATAAACTGAGATTTCTGTGTATTGTCCAATGGAAATGCAATTTTCACTTTCCTACAAGTCTTGCAGTCTCAGACTTTCCTGATAAGTCACTGTACTTTCTGATCAATAGTGAACAGAGGTGCCGGTGTGGTTACCACCTCTGCGTCCAACTCCAAGCTCAAAGTCAGCCCCTACTCTGTGATTGACATCGCCCCTATCCAGCAGCATCTGCTGTCAGAGCAGAGCGGCCCTCCCTACTCTCCCCCAGCCAATGAGAGTGAAAGAGACATTCAGGATGTACCCAGTAGCCCTGGGTTGCCCTCTGGGTATTCAGTGCCAGTGCCCTGTGGTTATGCAACGCCCTCAAATGTGCCGGTGATCCCACCAACCTACACCACCCCAGTTATCATCCGACACTTCTCTATGGATGAAGATGGTACAAAGAGAGATTATTCCCACCTGTTTCCATTTCATTTATTCTCTTCATTGATCTGGTTGGAATAGGGGTTCACCATCACCATACATATCCTCTCTCTTTTTACTTTCTCACTTAATTTCTCTCATGCGCTCTGTCTCTTCTTTTTCTTAAGATTTGCCATGAGGAAGTTGGGGATAATTTTAGCTGTGGCTTTGGCTGTGATGAGGTTTCCTGTTTTCTATTAAGTGTAACAGTAGCCTGAATGTTAACTACATTTTACACGAGTATTCTCAAATGTATACACTTTTTTTTTTTTTTTTTTTTACAAAACCATTTCTAACATTTATCATAATTAGTAGTTGTTTTTTAAAACTGCTTTAAAACTGGCACGTCAATAAAGCAGTAGTATTATCAAAAGTGTTATATTTCGAAAAATGGAAATGATGCAGTGTAAATGTTGAATCAAAATCAAATCTTATAGTTTAGGTTTCTTCAAAGTGGCCACCCTTTGCTCTAAATTAGAATATATAGATTCATGTGCACACTATATATAGATTTTATTCATCATTATTTTTAAATTTTATGACTTAATTCATAGGTATGCTCAATTTATAATTATAATTTCATGCATTTAAGCTTAATCCTTTAGGTACAAAGTTTTTACAGTTATGAGAAACTTACATCCAGGCAAGTTCATCTAGACTGGCAGTGTAGGTAGAGATGAGGAGGTGTGTTGAAACTTGTAGCAGACACACTCAGCACATTACTGTCCCCTTGTGGTGTAATGGTGTTCGAGCTATAAACCTGCACATTTTTTGGGTTTTGACATTGTCTGAACTCACCTTTGTGATTTTAAGAATTTTATGAAGCATATTTGAATGTGTTTGTTGGTGCTATTCTGTTAATGCATCAATTGTTTTGTTGTGTCCTGCAGTGACTGTGGTGGGAGCAGGAAATACTCCAGTGGACAGGTGACTGAGACCGCACAGATGTTCAGTACTGCTTTACTTCCTCTGAGATGTCGAATGCATATTAATGTCCTTCTGCTTTATGCAACTTTTTGTACTATGAAGTACTTTTAGGGATTTTTTCCTCTATTTTTGTGTGGGGGTTTTGGGTTTGCATGCTCGTGTACAAAACGGTTTGGACTTCATGTTCTCGTAATAATATTTGAATACTGCAGTGCCATCACAGATGGATATTTTAAAGGGAAGTGTTTATGAATATTAATTCCAAGTGGCATCTCCAGTGTTTTCAGTGAAGAGTGTCCAGTCATCAGAGAGGAAGATGCTCTTACCAAGTGGGTGTCAGACCCAGCAAACACGGCCTGGATGGAGAGTAAGTTCTCAGCATTTTGCTAGGCTGATAAAATGCTTAGATTTACATGCAAATGTACAGTGGTGTGAAAAGGTTTTTGCCCCCTTCCTGTTTTTTTTGTTTTTTGCATATTTGTCACACTTAAAAGATTCAGATCATCAAACAAATTTTAATATTACACAAAGATAATGCAAGTAAATGCAAAATGCAGTTTTTAAATGATGGTTTCTTTTATTAAGGAAAAAAAGCTGTACAAACCTGCCTGGCCCTAAAGCCTTGTTTGCCTCATTTAGCTGTGTTTCCTGTTTCTGAAGAGAATCTCAGACATTTCCTTCCTTCTCGCTAAGAACTGCTACACTTCCTTCAGAGGATTCATTAACACATATACTGTTCACGCACTCTGAGACCCCCTGCACTGCTTTGGTTTGGTTGGACATGAGAATTTGAGCCATGTGTGTTTGTTGGCATGTTTCTATTTATTTTAGGTCCAGATGAAGTGATTTATGATGATGTACCAAGAGAGAACTCTGGATCAACTACAGGTGTGTTCATCTAGTCTTTATTGAATGATGTATTTCTTCATGTTTATTTACCTTCCAGCTAACAGCTGACAAGTTCATTGCACATTTTGTATCTGTTTTATCCAGTTTTTTTTTTTAACTACAGTTATTAATCATTACATTCAAATTCAGATTAATTGATTGATCTAGAATTGTTTTAGCGAATTGATGCATCTATAAAGCAATTATTTTTCCACCCCTGTAGACTGGCTATGAAAATGTGAGAGATATGAAAACTGAGAGTAAAATTTGCCTGCTCAGCAATAAGATGGTGTCATGTGACTGACAGCTCTGCTGTTACAGCTCATGAGGGATAGAATGGGGGCTGTTTTTGAATAATGTGAAAACTATGTGCAAGTCAGACCCAGATGAGATGATCTATGATGATGTTGAGTTCGGGGAAGAGGGCGGCAGCAGCTCTCTGGACAACGGCTGGAGCTCCAGTGAGTTTGAGAGCTACGAGGAAGCCAGTGACACAGAGAATGGACATGGAGAGAATGGCCTCCCAGATGCCTTTGTCAGGGGCCGTGCACCCAGCAAGAAAACGCATGTATGTATTCATACTGCTTCTGTCTGTCTCATTATTTCTCTCCTTTTTTTTCTCTGCTGTTTCTTTGGCTTGAACAGCAGAGATGCAGTGGGATAGAAGTTTAGAGGTGTGTGTGTGTGAGATTGTAATGAGATCTGATGCCGGGATCATAGGTTTTTCACATTTGCCCACGGCCCCATGCTAATATTTAAAAACGGGAAAAGACTTCAATCAGCTTGTAATGTTTTTGTTTTTGTTTGTGTGTGTGTGTGTGTGTGTAGGCACTGATTTAGTAGAAGAGGTTTATTTGAGTGTGTGTGTGTGTGTGTGTGTGTGTGTTTATTTCAAAGTCTGGCCAAGGCATTGGTTTATTTCTGAAGTGGCAGAACAAATTTAGAGTCATCATTTGTAAACCGTCATTGAGAGAGGGATTTGTGGGAGTTTGTTTAAGAGTGTATATGTGTGTGAGAGGTTTAAGATTCGTTTGTGAGGAAGTGCTCAAAATGAAATGTGTTCAGGGAATTTTCCAAGTTTTTTAAAATTTATTTATATATATTTTTTAAGTAATATTTCTGAATCATATCTGTGGCATGCCATCATTTGTAACCAGCAATAATTTTGTCCCATGCCTCACTATGCTTGCACAATCTTTATGTAATATTATTTAAAATAAGTAATGGTGTATTTAAGAATTATTTCAGAATTCATTTGATTCAAATTTTTGTAATGTTGGTTATTGGCCATTAAAGAAAATAATTATTATAAATATTATGGAATTTTATTTTCAGTAAATGGAAAACAACAGCATGCCATATAAACATTAGGTATATTACTGGAGTGAGATTCTGAACAGAATGAGGGAGTGAAGGAGTGATGGCGGCTGTGTGCAGTAACTCGTTCTCTGCCCCCCGTTCAGCTGTCTGAAGATCTGGCGCGTTTGAAAGAGCACTATGAGAGAAAGATGCGAGATCTCATGGCAAACACAGTGGGGACAGTAGAGCTACAGCAGCTCAAACACAAACATGAGCAAAAGGTAAAAGAACAAGAATGTGTATGTCAGCCTGACTGACAGCTCTCCATCCCTGGAGGAGCTCTTTCTTCTCTGTGCTAGTCGTCCTGGTGGTGGGCTTCCTCTGTTTAACCCCCAGACCTCCATCATTCCCACTAAATATATGTGTGTGTCTCCATAGATGTAGCTGGTGTCATCTCTGGAGAGTGAATGTTGTACACAATTTTACTTCTCATTCATCCTCTGGCTTCGCATGTCATTCTGTGTTTGAAAACATTGTTGGTATACAATTTTGCCCTTCAGTGACTGCCACAGCAGGGCACAACATTTATTAAATATTGGTATAATGGGACTACTTTTGGAAAAATCTGTCGAGTTCTGCAGATTTGCAGTTGCGGAGCTGCAGTTGCAGTCACTGTTTCTCTTATTTATCCATCAGTCTTCATGTTCTCTTATCCCTCATTTTACTCATCTGGTGTCAGTGTCGATTGATCATTGTGTTTGGATGCATGTTTTGTTGAGATCTTATGTTTTAGTTGGATAGTTAGTCTCCATGGTGAATGTCTGTTAAAATGATGTGAAATCTCAGGGGTGAATTCACAAAAGAGTTGGGACGCATTTGTCTGCAGTATTCCTGAAGCTAACTTTGCCTATATGAATCGGGGATTGCAGTATGTATGGATTTCTTTATATAGTTTTTGTGTACTGTTACTTGATTTGCATAATTTTTAGCACAGTTAGAATCTTATTTCATTTTTAGTGAATTCCCCCCTTGTTATTTTAAGTGATTGTAGTTCAGAACTCATTGCTGAGACATATTGCATGTGTTACAGATGCAGCGACTTGTAAAAGCAGCCAAAGATGGGACTAAAGATGGTCTGCAGAAAACCAAAGCCGCGGTGAGAAAGGGACGATCTTTCATCCGCACCAGATCTCTCTGTCATGGTAAGAGCACAGTAGTACATCCTCCAGCTTACTTAATTCACAAATGGTTGATTTAAAAGCCTCCATCTGTTTAATTCATTTGATTCATCATTATTTCCTTAGAGAAGAAACCCAACTGCTTTGATGAAGAGTCAGATCTGTTCATCGAGGTGGAGTGTTTTAATGTGGACCCGGTGCTGGGACCTGCACCTGATGGGCTCTCTCAACACCAGGTTCTGTTTTACACAGCCTTATCTGCCTTTTCTGAGCCAATTTTTCAGTGACTTTTAATCAACTGTTGACCAGGGTTTTTATATACAGTACTGTTCGAACTTTTGGGGTTAGTATTTTTTCTTAATATTTATTCAGCAAGCATGCATTAGTCAAATGTGACTTTTAAGACTTTTACATTATTAAAGATTTCAAGATTGCAAATGCTGATCTTTTGAACTGTTTTACTTATCAGATAATCCTGAAAAAAATACATCATGGTTTCCACAGAAATATTAAGCAGCACAACTTTTCAACACTTATAATAAGACAAAGCACCAAATCAGCATATTAGAATGATTTCTGAAGGATCACGTGATACTGAAGACTAGAGTAATGGCTGCTGAATATTCAGCTTTGTCATCACGGGAATAAATTACACTTTAAAATATATTAAAATAGAACAAACAAAGTTATTTTAAATTGTAATAATATTTCACAATGTTGTTGTTTTGACTGTTTTTTGATCAGATAAATGTCTTGTTGAGCAAAAGAAACTTCTTTCAAAAACATATGAATAAAGTAATTTCTTTAAAATAAATGCATACATTTTCTGAGTGTGACTTGAGTGCCCCTGTATGTTGTTTTTGTGTGTGCATGAACATGTAAACAGGTGATGAGGAGATGCATTCTGGAGATGATTCTAGAGAGTGAGAAGAATTATCTGGAAGCTCTGAAGAGAATTTTAGAGGTTTGTACTATTTTTGTCTGATCTGGTTTACATTGCAGTGGAAATTAGTTTTTTTTTAAATGCATTGTAATGTAAAACCTTTATTTTAGTTTCTGCACACATTAATTATCCAATAATGTAAATTATTTTTACGTGCTTTACACATAACAGCAATATGAGAAGCCGCTTGCTGAGATTGAGCCTCGGTTACTGAGTGACCGCAAGCGCAAGGTGATGTTTTATCGGATTCGGGAGATCCTGCAGTGCCACGCCCTGTTCCAGATGGCACTGGCCAGCCGTGTGTCCGACTGGGATGAGCTGGAAATGATCGGAGATGTGTTTGTAGCATCGGTGAGATATCAAAGTTTTATAAAATTGTATGTCTTTTTTTCTAGGTAAAAAGAACTACATTAATATTGCGCCGTCTAAACTCCTTTTCTAAACTTTTAATCACACACCACACCCTTTATCTGAGTTTCTACATGTACAAACCTTCTCCACCCGTAACCAGCTGTTGTGAGGTGTGTTTGTGTGTCTAAAATGTATCTGCAACAGTAGAAACTGTAGTTCATAAAAAAAGCATTATGGTTTCCACTGTCATATCAGTGCCGTCACCTCTCTTTCTGTCTCTTCTGCAGTTTTCTAAGTCCATGGTGTTGGATGCTTACAGTGAATATGTGAATAACTTCAGCTTGGCAATGGGAGTGGTGCGGAAGGCGTGTGCCGCTAAGCCCTGTTTCCTTGACTTCCTCAAGGTGAGACATCCCAAAGGAGTCCAGAATATTCCTGTGGTGCCGTAATTACATGTAAACCAGTTCTGCGCTGTTCTGTTACATAATTCACAAAAATAAGCTTCAAGGCTTTGGTGATCTAAATCCCAAACTTTTGAACAGTAGTGTATGTTTTTGCTCATAATTCATTCTTGAGCTTTGCTGATTCTGTTTGTGTATAGCATCGTCAGGAGACCAGTAAAGACCGTCTGACCCTCTATGGACTGATGATGAAGCCTATTCAGCGGTTCCCTCAGTTTATACTGCTGCTGCAAGTGCGTCTTATCTCTCACACACACTCACACACAGACTTTTAGTTCTGTTAGTATAAAAAAAAAACGTGCTCCAGTTTATTAAAATATGTAAAAAATCTTGACATCTCCTGAAGAGGGCGCCTCTTTCTATCTGATCCGCATCACATAAACAGTCACTGATATGGAGGCACTTTCATGTAGTTCACAAACTCACATGAGGCAGAACTGTTTATAGATGCTTAGATTTTTATTTATTCAGTTTTTCTGTTACTTTTCGCAGGCTAACATCCATTATCTTTTGTGTAGGACATGCTAAAAAACACGCCGGTGGGTCATCCCGACCGTCTTCCGCTTCAGATGGCTCTCACTGAACTGGAAACACTTGCCGAAAAATTAAATGAGAGGAAAAGAGAGGCAGATCAGCGCTGTGAGATCAGACACATCGCTAAGGCTGTGAATGAACATTACCTCAACAAGGTACTGCAGCCCCTCTACTCAAAGACCTGGCATGAGAACTTGTCCTCTGATTGATCGTAGTAGTACACCTCAAAAAAGTGTATGAATCTATACGTGTGTGGGTGTTTCGTCTAATTCGTTATTTGACATTTGGTAGTTTCACATGGTGCGGTTAAACCTAGAGTGTGTCTGATTTTAGCAAAGCCCAGCTGTCGCTGATATGAAGTCAGTACTGAGCCAATCCTCTAAACAGAACCAGCTTGAATGCTCCACACCGTCTGGGAGCTCTGATATATTTTGCTAAACTTTGCACTTCTTGCTCTTTCATGTGGATGGATAGGTGTGTTTTTTCTCTCTAAATTACGTTAAGTTGAGCTTTTATGGTCTGCTTTAGCTAATGATGTAATAAGTAGAAGCTAATGTTTTTAGCATGTTTTACTTTCCATTTTGTTCCTCAAGTCAACCCTCAGACCAATTTGGATGAGTGTCTGTGTGTGTGTGTCCAGGGTCAATTGATGAATGACTGCGACTAAGTAGGACCCTTACATTTTTAATTCCCAGCTCAGTCCTTTTATTGCTGTTTCTGCTTCTCTCTCCATTTATCCCTCTCTCTGTCTCTCAGCTGCTGAGCAGCGGCAGCCGTTATCTAATTCGTTCTGATGATGTTGTGGAAACCGTTTATAATGATCGTGGGGAGATCATTAAGACAAAAGAACGAAGAGTCTTTCTTCTGAATGATGTGCTCATGTGTGCCACCCCCAACTGGCGGTATGAGCCGTTACACATATCCATTATCTGAAATAACTGTCAGTCTGAACTGTTTAGCACGACAACATCACTCCAGAAAACATTTTAATTTCTACATTTTTACAGTAAAACCTTCTTCCTCCACATAAATCTCTCCTCTGCCTGATTAAACTAGCTTTTCTCTCCTTCAGCCCCTCTCAGGATGGAGTGAATGTGGGAGCTGGAGGTGAAGGTGTCCCCTCAGGACAGCGCTTCCTGCTCAAGTGGAGCGTTCCTTTGAGTTTGGTTGAGGTTGTAGAGTTTGGCTCCAGCGACGAGATGGGCGACTCCCGTTTTCCCCCCTCGCACTCAGGAGATAAAGTCGTCATTAATGCTAAACCTAGTAAGTTCCTGTTATACAGACAAAAATGTTTGCGCAAACATCTACCTTGTCAAATTTCTGTAGCTAAGTCAAAGTCTGACTGAATCTTGGTGCTAGAACTCATTTTTTTGTATTACTGGAGGTCAAGGTCAAATGGTGGTTCAGGTTCTGGGTTGAAAACCCAAACTTTTCACATTCAAGCACTGGTTGGGCCATGAATTACAGAGATTACTACTCAAACCACAACTATGTCATTCGGGCAGCTGATCGCTGTAGGATACAACTACAGTTACCAGGGAAACAAGACAAGTATGTGTGACCTTGACTTGACCCGACATGGCTTATTATCCTCAATGTTGAAAACAGTTGTGCTGATTAATATTTTTGTGGAAACCTTATACATTTTCTTTCAGGATTCTTTGATGAATAGAAA